AGTGCTGGGAATCCATCTCAATGGATTTCGTCTTCGGGTTACCCAAAGACGCACGCGGGAATACGGGTATTCTCGTATTTGTTGACAGATTCAGCAAAATGGTACACCTTGTGGCTGTACCAGAGACAATCACGGCAAGTGGCTGTGCTTGTGTCTTTATTGACACCATCTTCCGACTTCATGGGTTGCCCCGTGAACTCGTATCAGACAGAGATCCACGATTCACTGCTGATTTCTGGCGCTCCGTGTTCAAATCACTCGGAACGCGCTTGAAGATGTCAACATCTGATCATCCAGAGTCAGATGGTCAGACGGAACGTGCCAATCGTGTCCTTGAAGAGATACTTCGAGGATACGTACACTCCTTTAAGAGTTGGAGTGAGTTTTTGCCGATGGTAGAGTTTGCCATCAACAACTCGGTGCATGCGTCCACGACACATACACCGTTTTACGTGAATGGCTTGCGCCATCCGCGTGTACCCACCTTACTAGAGTGTAACTCTGGTTTAAGGGGGGAGGGACTCGCGCGAGCAAAAACCGATTTGGTTCACGCTCATCACGCTCTGACGAAGAAGTCATTGCGTTTGATGCCGATATCGATAACATCGATATCGAAGAAGATGATGCCAGTGAGAGTGCGGAAGCCCTCACTGAAGACAATGATCCCAGTGAGAGTGCGGAAGCCCTCACTGAAGAAAAGGTTGTTGTCGCTGCAGTGCGCTCACAGCACACTGAAGCTAACGAGTCATCAGATGAGTTCATACTGGCTCGTGAAACGGTAGTCCGTTTTGTGCAAGACTCCATCGCCGAAGCGGTGGATAAGCAAAAGCAAAACGCTGACAAGAATGGAAGGGCAAACACTCTTTTATTTAATAAAGGTGACTTAGTCCTACTGTCTACGGTTAATCTACCAAAACATGTAGTGACTAACTTGGGTAGCAGTAAACTACTACCCAAGTACATTGGCCCATTTCGTGTATTGCACCGCCTAGGCAATGCATACACGATCGAGTTACCACGTAAGATGCGAACGCATCCCACGTTTTACGTTGGTCGGCTTAAGCCGTACCATCAGTACGCTGCTTCTTCCGATGAAGAACGCCCTTGCGCTCAAGCATCTCGCAGAGAGCCTTGTGCTCCCGATGGTGGGCATCAACAAGGGTCTGAAGAGCAGTTATCTCAGCCCGAGACCGATCAACAATCCCACGAGCTACCCTTAGCTCGTCACGAAGAGATGTCAGAGATCTCTCGTTCTCAAGCTGAGCAAAGGCAAACTCAGCTCGATGCTTCGAGGCAGTGTCCACCATCTGGAGACGCCTACTCCGCTCATGCTCGAGATCGTCGCGTAACCCTTGCGTTACGCGATCAAAGAAGCTCTCGGGAACACACCGATCCACATGATCGTGTGGAGAGCGTCTTTCCTCCTCCTCCACCTCCATTAGAGGACTCTCGCGGTGGCCAGCGCTATCTAGTAGAGCAGCTGTTGAACCACCGCGACGTGAACGGACGTCGGACGAGTTACCTCGTCCGGTGGCGCGGCTATCCCCCGTCCTGGGATTCTTGGGAGCCCCGCTCCCAATTGATGGTTGACGTACTGGGTCTGGTCGAGCAGTACGACGCGACACATCCTGTGCCGCAGAAGGACCGCCGGAGAAAGTCTTCCCGGCACGGTCGTAAAGGGATTTCAGGTTGTCAATCCCTTCGTACATCTCAGTAGAGACACGTACGCGCCACCACGGGCTGGTAAGGAGGTAAGCCTCCTTAGGTGCTCGTGCAGAGTTGTTCACACAACATGGGCACGAGTCTCCCCAAGAGAGGCAGGGTAATCCTTTCTCCCTTGACAGACGATGCAGCTTGTAGCGTGCACCTGTGGGGGTTCGCTTTTCAAACTTATCACGAGCTTTGATAAGTTTGTCGTTCCAAGCGTCACGACCTACATCCTCGAGGTTATGGATGTAGGCGTTCCACGCCTGAAGTAGTGAGGGACCATCACGTTTGTGATTCCCACTGTACCATCGATGTCTGAAGAAAGCATCGATGAAGAATTCATGTTCAGCGCGATAGTCTTTCGCGCTGGGGTCAAGGTGATGGATCCTTGACGAATCGAACAATCGTGTTCGATAACGATCACTCGTCGTCGCCGACAAGTGATCCATGACAGATTTAGGAGGCATCCATGCCTTCTTTTCTGGAGCGAGACGCAACACATTGCGGTCCCGCTCTTCCTGCGACGTGCCGACAGAAGTACTGGCACCTCGCTGTGAAGTGGTGTCCATTGGAGAAACGACACCACTATTAGCGCCCGAGTCTCGCGACCTCGAGCGCCTTCGCTTCGGCGATGGTTCATCTGACTCATCAGATGAACCAAAGATGCTGCGACGCAAAGCATCGTCCATGCCACGCTTGGCAGGCGGCTTGGATTCAATTGCCGTCGATACGGATCCGTCATCCGTATCAGGAGAGTACGAGACACCGAGCTCGTACTCTGTGAAGACACGAGTGTCTTCATGACCAGCGCCTGCATCACCAGGTGATACAGGCTGAGTCGATTCAGCAACCGATGGGACATCAGTTGCTGTAGTTTCTGCTTCGGCGTCCGCACAGAGACGTGCAGACGCGCTCTCGGCGGCCTTGCTCGCGCATCGCATGGGCTTGTTTACCATGCGATGAGATGTTGGAAAGTGGACGCGGACCAACAAGTGCAAACCCCGTCCCAAATGATTTGGGACGAGTATCCATTTAGTCAATCAGTCACTAAAGTGACTGATGGTTAAGGGGGGTGATGTAACGGGGTGAATCGTTACATAACAATTTATAAGAAATTGTTAATAGAATATAACTATAAGAGTTATATTCTCAGAATATTGTCATAAGGACAAATATTCTGTAGCACTTACGAGTAGTTCCTAATTGGTTGATATAGGCCATTTTATCAACCAACGAAGACGCGCCACGACAGACGCACGCAATGAGTGGTGAGCAGATAACTGATTTACACATTTGTATTTAGACATAGTTAGATGAAGATAAATAGTGATTTATTGCAGACATTAACTATACTAAATACAGTTCTACTTTTTACTCTAACCAAGTACTCGCTTCTTCTTACCGTCTTCCTCTGCACGTACGAGTGTACGTGAAGTTACGAGGCACCGCCTTATTCTGTTATCAGAATAAGTAGCTTGTACTGTCACCAGTACAAGCTTCAGGGTGCCCCGTTACACGAAGCATCACGGCAAACAAACGACCTTTGCCGTTTACCGTGGCAATTATGCGCGACGCTACATTTTTCTGGTTATATGAAAGGCAATTAGTGCTATCATTGCGGGAAAGAAATGTGATGCAGAGCAGACAGTGCTGTACCATACCTTACATCCGCCGAGCACAAGTCTGAAGTATCCTTAAACTGAAGCAATGCGCACGCACATAACCTTTCTTAAGGTTTCTTCGCCTTCCTAAGTCTGTCGATTGTCGCAGTGAGCTTGCTGGTAAGGTAATGCAACTCTTCGTCGTCTGGTGACCATTTTTTTCGTCGCCACCATTGGCAGGTTGTGACTGAGCCTGTGCTGGGATCTTCGTCGGCACAACGAAAAAGTACATTTCATGCGCTCGCGAATAGATTGCCGCCTTCCTCGGTTCAGCACGCTTAAGGGGTTGTAGTTTTTGGGGCGTTGCCAATATACTGCATAGATCGGTTAATGCGGGCAACCTTAACCACCCTTCAATTTTGTCGAGGATACCCGCCGTTTCCTCCGCCGTGAAATCCTCTTATTTAAGTTCAAGATCGTCTTCCTCTTCACTCTGACTTTCTGCCCCCTGATATTGATTCAATCTTACTTTTTACCTCTTTAGCACCGTTTCCTTCTTGTCCTTCTCCACTTTGTCACCGTTGGCTGCGGCTTCTGTTTGCCTAGCTTAAGCCCTTTTCTCTTCCAGAACAGACCTCATAAGCTGCAAGTGCCGTTGTCGTTTGTTGGGGCGCGGCATTTTGTGGTTGTTGACATATTTGTACATCGATTGGTGGTGGAAACGTGCAAAAGACGTTTGTTGTGTGCAGTGCGATAAGAGCGTTGTAAAAGGCGTTTTCGGTTCGGGAAACGGCCAAAAATATCTAAAATATGGCCGCCGTAAAAGTGAGTTACAGGTTATAGGTGGTGCGCACTGTAGGTCGATTAGCATGATAGATGTCACTCTATGGCTAGGTCAAAGCTGTGATGCACACATGTAATTGGCTCAAGATCGATCAAAGGTGAATATGAGCTTATACACGAATGCTGGATGCTCATAAGCAAAGGCTGATCGCATTGCCCAAGTGTACTGTGCTAGGTTAATCCAGACATTAAGAGCATCATACTCCTTCTTCAGTGACTGCTGTTTTATCGTATTTTTGCAACTAGATTCAGTTCTCCGAGCTGGATTACTTAGATCAATGGTCGAGCTCCAGAGCTTGCTCCTCAATCTTAATTTGCAATAGGCGTCCATTACGTAATTTTCCGGGCGTGCATTTAACAATTCCCTTTATAAACTAGGTTTTATCGGGGATGTCGGTAGGCACCCAGTGTGAAGCCCCCTTACAAATTGCTAAAAGCGGGTCGAATACAAATGCACCCTCTTCAGTACCACTGCACGTCGATCACACCCAAGTAGCAGCTCTCAACTCGCAATTGTCGCTGGGATAGACAGCAGCGACACATGGGTAATACTTTCTTTCTCGCCATTGCGTCTATCTCGAAGTCGCATCCACGGAACAGACTGACTCGCTGGCAGTCGCAGGTGTCCTAAAAATAGTCCCATCGCCATCGCTCTCGACATGACGCACCACGTGAACGCGCACCAGATGGAAGGGATCCCGCTCAGAACACTCGGTGCGAGTTGTGTCATGCCAAGTGGCTACACTCACGCTCTATTCACCCGTTCAACGCAGCAGCAGCAGACCAAAAGGACAGAGACACAGAGAGAGAGAGAGAGACGACACTGTCACGAGATAACAAGCGCTCGCGATGGCGGATGCTCGTTCCCCGCAGTCAAGACGCGCGCTTAGTCGCGACTCTCGCCTGGTGCCTCAACGGAGAAGCGCGTTTTCTTCGTTTTTGTCGATGGATAGTGAAGATGGAGATGATGGGGTGGAGGAGGAGGAAGATGGTTACCCGAACGCTCAGTTGAGGATACAGCAGCGGGCGGATGGCAGCGTTTGTATGGACTCGTCACTTGAGATGGAGCAGATACGGACAGGGATAAGTCGAGGTGCTGGCGAGAATGAAAGCTGTGGTCTGGTTGTGGTGCAACAACGAGTTTTTGACGATGCACAGGTCGATGACCAGTGGAGTGGGTCGAATCTTATGGAGGGGGTTACGGGTGAGAATGCTGTGCCGGGCCTGAGCTGTCGAAAGAGTGATGGTGTTACGAAAGACAAAGCTGTTGTTCGTGATTGTGGGCATTTTTGTGGTAGTTGGTCGTCTGAGCTTCTAAGCACCGGTAGCCATGAAGACAGCTTCTTTGACGAACCTAGACCCAGCTTCTCGGATGAGCATATCTTTACAGAAGCAGACAGTTTTACGGCAGTGGATACGAGTTTTGTGTATCGTCCAAGCTTGATGGATGATTTCGATGAGAGCGGCGCTCAGTACGACATACAGGGCGAGTTTGATAGTCGCAGTTTTGTCGGCCGGCGCACTAATTCGGATGAAGGTGGCAATTCTATCGGGGAACGTCAATACGTGCGCCCGAAGAGTCTTGCAGAAAGTGGGCTTGAGGATTCGTTGAATCTTGTTGAAAACAGGAATTTAAGTCGTGTTGTCAGCAAGTCGGCAAATGGCTTATCTGTGGCTGTAGGCGTGCATACAAATACTCTGCAAGACGACGTTGGCACTTCGGCGGTAATCGGTGGTCAGATTCGTATGGCGAGTTCAGATACATTGACAGCGCAGAAGAATGGCTACGTTTATTGTCCAGCGTCACTAGAAGCAGATAACAACACTCGAGACAAAGTGTGTCGAATGGGTAGCTTGGCAAAAAATGGCGATACTCGTGCCGCGCGGGAAATTGATAAATTGGTTGGCGGCGCAGATGGCGATGGAAACGCTGAAGGTGAAAATAGCGATGTACCGTCTACCTTGAGTATGAGCACGTCGAGTCATTCCCGGTCGAGTGGTGCAGTCTCGTTTGAAGGTAAGGTCACCGATTCTGCATATCGATTTCATGACGATAAAGCTGCACTGTTTGCCGTGAGGCGTGATAGCTCTAGTGTCACAGACAGTTGCGCCTCATCGACGCTTTTTAAGGTTGACAAGACTACAGCACTCAAGGTCCCGCAATTGCGTGCCAAAGTCTCTGTTGCGAGGATACGTGCGCAGTATGAAGAGGGTATAGTATCGCGGGCGCCGGCTGACGTTTCTGTCAGTAACACGAACAGCTTGACCACTGCTCCGACATGCACCGCAACATCTGACAGCGTTGACAAGTCAGCTCGAGCTGAGGGCACGAATGTAGATTATGTCTACGCATCTGATGCCTTTGCAAGCACAAGCATAATCAGCGGGCATTCTCTCTCGAGGCAGTCAAGTACTGATCTTTCGAAAGTTTCCTCGCGACAGATGATAGCGACCAGCGAGTCGTGGAGAAAGTCATTGCCGGACTCGAAAAATAGTAAGAATACTTTTGACAAGGATGTTGGGTCCTTGCGTGGCGGATTTTCCTTGTTGCGGAAACCAGCACTACGCACCGATCATATTGATCATCGTGTCGAAAGCAGGACTACAGTACGCAGCTTGGTGGCCTGCCCGCCCTTGGGATCGACCATCGTTGTGTCAGATCATAGCTCAGCGAATCTCTGCATCGACAGGAGCGTGTTGTCAGGATGCTCGATGTCATTGGACTCCCGGCCTTCTGGGGAAGACTCATTGACAAAGAATACAATTTTCGTGGATGACGTTGGACGAATCGAAAAGCGCGGTAGCGACAGGTTTTTGTCACAAGCTTCAGGATGGACACGGAGTGGAGGTAGCTCTGATGTAGACCTGGCCGCATCTGCTTCTTCAGGCTCCTGCTACAACAAATCTGTCAGTGTCGCTGATGGACAGGTTTTTGCTATGAGTTTGGATGGTTCTATCGTGTCGTCGGTGGTGTCTCAGTCTTTGGCTTCAAGCGACGAGCTCTCTTTTGTCTCGTTCCATGCTACCCAGCCTACTACTCCACCAGGACTGTCTCGGCTGCTGGAACAAGGAGCAGCTGTGGAGAAGCGCTTGTCAACCCCAGCAATAATCATTCCAGGCCCAAATGAGGCTGCTCACAAGCTGGAACGTGTGGTATGCAGGTCCATCGTGGTTCCGCACAACAGTGATGACAAAAGTATCGAGACCTTCAGATCTCCAGCTGTTTCCTCGGCATACTGTACCAGTCCCGTGCAATTTTCATCTGCGGCTCTCTTGGCTGCGATCAAGACACGCGATGTGCGTACGGACTCTAGACCTGATGCCATGGTCGATGTCGCTCTCGGCTCGAGTCATTCGATTTCCTCCTCACTCAAGATCAATCGGATACCCCGGGACCAAAAACTTGTCTCGTTACCAGTTCCGTTAAAAGATGTCGCTGGAATATCTCCTCCATTGATCTTGACACCGCCGGTGATGATGTCGTTAACAAATCGGTCATCTGTGGCTTCATTAGCTGAATCTGCTGATCGTCTTGACTTCACTGGAGTTTACCGTGGCTCGCCCAACAGCCTGGGTTTATTGGGTAATAACGGCATTTCTAGGAAACCAATTCAGTCTGAGGATGGGACCCGATTAAATAAAATGGAGCAAAGGTCGCTCGGTGATCGCAGGGCAACGTCTAAACCCAAGAATCTAGAGCGCTCTAAAAGCGATGGCCGTGCGATACAGTGCAAGGCTCGACGCAAAGTGGAAGATTTTTTCCAGCGTACACACCAGAATAGTGTGCGCGTGGTAGATGAGCGAGAGGTGTTCAGGTCAGTAAATCGACCAAAGCGCGCTTGTACAACTGTGGTCCAGTCCACGGACAATGTTGAAGAGAACCCGCGCGGCAATGTCAGTCATAGTACCAAGATGGTCAGAGTCATTGATTTAAAAAATTTGTGCAGTGGTGGCGACCGACCCGGATGGCACTTGGCAAGTGACGCATTGATTTTGACGCCGCAGCAAGGAGAGCTTACTGAGCAGGGAGCTATGGCGACGACGAGTCGAAGTGCCAGCTCAGGAATTTTTACGACACGGTCGATTGCTTCCGCCGAGTACATTACTAAGCCGATAGACTATGTGGTGAGCCCCCAGGGAACCGCTGCTGATGGAACTAATGTGCTGGACACGGGCAAGGACAACGCATTGAACATTAGAGATACAGCAAAGTCGATCGGGAGTGGAAGCAGCAACTTCTTTTCAGTGTTATTGGATCCCAGAGAGAGCGATGGCAGCAAACTTGGAGCAACGTCAGGTTGGAGGGCCTTTGATGTGTCACAAACACCAACTATGACACGAGGTGCAGGAAGTGAGTCACCAGCCTTTCCTGTGCCGCCGTCAGCAGCACCCAGCACCACTCCTGTTGAGTTTGGTGGTGCATGTGACATGTTTAATGATGAAAGATCATTGCCGAGCACTTTTGCTCGCGCCATAAGCACTTTCATGCAGAAGACAGGAACCAGCTTAAGCTTGAAGCAGTCAGCTATGGCTTCACCGTTCAGGGCGTCAGGCATGTCGTTTTCGCAGCGAACAACGTTTGCTGACCGAATGCAGAGTTTGTCGGCTTCGGTCTCACGTGCTGTACGGCGCCTTCTGCCAGGTCGCGACGCACGTGGACCGAATGGCATTGCGAATTGTACATCTCCTGATTCCCAGTGCACATCTCCAGCAGCACTGCGACGTGCCTACGACCACAACGGCTTTTACGGTACTCCGTTTAAGGTGCCTGGTGTGAACAAACCGTTGCCACAAAGCGAGGAACTGCAGCATGTGGGAAATGACTGTGACTGGGTTCGACAGTGGCTGCTCCTGGCGACGTGTGCCGTGCTTGGGTTATCACTAGGAGCCATCTTGGTGCGTGCTGTGGCATTTGATTCTAGCCTATTCAACTTGTCAGGTGCTGAAGTGCGTGATCGTCAAGAGAGTACTGGGCAGCTGGTTCTTGCTCCTGGCACGCGATGGCTTCTACTACCTGGACGTCTGTTCCTGCGAGCTTGGAGCGCGGTGACAACACCATTGTTGGTCTGCTATGTCGTCACTGCAGTGTCAGATCTCGTTGGCTGTGCGGACAAATGCGCGCTGGTTCGGAGCTCACGGTCGATGGCGTACGCGCTACTGCTGGCAATAATTGCCACGGCTGAAGGAGTTCTGGCTATGTATTTGACGCACACGTTCCGGTGGTTCAGAGGAAGACGCCACACAGCACAAACAGCGGCATCGACACTGTCTGATGCTATAGGAACGACTCCGTTGTCTGGTGGAGCTGTGGGACTGCTCTGCTCTAGCAGTGACACCTATCTGCAGCGACTGGGGCACGACGTCTTTACTTGTTCCAATGCATCGTTGACGCTGCCACTGTCAGAAGGGGTCAGCACGAGTTTTCCCGACATCGCTGATAGCGGTCCTGCTGTGTTTGCACTGCAAGACGTTTCTTCAGTGTTCAAGGTCCCGACATCGGGCGCAGTGTATTACCCGGCACTGCTGGACACGTTGAAAACGATGGCCAACAGTCATGACTCGTCGGCTGCTTCGGTTTTGTCCGCGCGGACCCCCCACACCTTGGTTGCACAGTCGATACTGGAGAAAAGCGATAGGATGATCTCGTTGGAAGGGCTCGTTCTGTTTGCTTTGGTCTTGGGATACATCTGCGGGAAGCGGATTCTGCGACTGCGACGTGACGCCCAAGCAGCGATGTTCGAGTCACGACGCAGTACTAGCCCAGCTGATGGAGACCCACAAAAAGCTTGCCACTATATTGTGGGTTTCTCCACGGAATTGCAGCTTGCCCTCGAGTGGTTGATTCGACCCATTGAGCGGTACCTGGCCCCCGTAGGATTTTTCTCGCTCATGCTAGGGCATGTGGTGCTTCATCATCGTGAATGGCGTTCATTTGCAGATCCAATGTTGTCGCTGCTTGTGATCGTGATGGCTGCGTTTCTCGTCCACGTTGCGCTGGTCCTATCGATGGTACGCACCCAATTTTGCGACAACCGACGTCGACTGCCTTTGCTGGTAACAACGCGAGCTTTCGTACCGGCATTTCTGTTTGTCTTTACGACTGACAATGTTGCACTCTCGGCTCCAGTCACGATGCAGTGCTTCGCCCGCGTGCTCACAGTGACTCGGTCAGCTGCGCAATTGATCACTTCCGTCACGGCAGCATTTTCTCGAAACGCACGGGCATTGTATCTGCCACTTGTGCTGCTCTGGCTGCTCGAAACGTCGTCACCACTGGAAGACGAGCTGAAGCTGAGTGCGTTCGACTACATCTCGATTGGTCTCTTGTCGCTGTTGAGCTGTTTCTGCGGAGGCAGCTCCCGGTTGACACTGGCCATGGCACGCACTTTGTGGTTCATGAAAGTGCGTGCTCAGTCTCCTGAGACTGCTCAGTTGATGCCTGCAACGATGCCGCTACTGATCGTGTGCGACGTGATGCTTTCACGCGTTGCCAGCGTTTTGACTCTGGCGGATCATCTTGTGCTTGCGCAGCTCACGGCACAGCATTGGGGAGAGACAGTCGTGCAGGGACGGACAGTTGAACCGAGCAATGACTACATGTCGAGCTTCAGCGCGCTTGACGATAGCCAAGCGCCTTGCCGTCCGTCGAGTGCCATGCTTTCGTCGGTTTACCTGTGATGACATTGGGACGACTCGAGAGATAGACCGATCATGTCTTTGCCCGTGCATTGCGAGAAAAAGAGAGAGATCGAGGTCTGCAGCAGATTTGTAGATATTGGGAAGGGGTTTCATGGTCACCTAGTTACATGCTAAGTATGTGCTACAAGACGGATATGTTGATACGTCAATGGGAAGTATCTATTATCAGAAGCGTGGTTGGTTTTGGTTTGAGACGGAGAGGTTGCGATCCGATTATCTGCCAATCCTGTGCTCGTAACTTTGACTGGCGGCGAGCAGTCTCCGCTTTGGCTGAAACCCAATCATTCCCAGTTTCTAGTCCGAATCCATCATGGTGCGTGCGCGTTCTGGTTGATGTCGTTGTTACTTGTTTCTGTGACGGAGTGCAGCGGGGATCGGGATGTCCGATGCCGACTGAAAGCAGTGACCCGTTTCGTGCCGCTCTCTACTCCCGTTCCCTATCAACAGACACAGATGATGTTCCGCCAGTCACTTGCTGACTCTCTCTCTCTCTCTCTCTCTTTGTGCCTTGCGTTGTTCTGTAGTCGAAGAAAACCGCAACGAAGGAAGTAGAGGAGGTGGTGCGCGTTGGCCCCACTCTCAAGGAGGGCGAGCAGGTCTTTGGTGTGGCTCACATCTTCGCCTCGTTCAACGACACGTTCGTGCACGTGACCGATCTGTCGGGTCGCGAGACGATCGTGCGTGTAACGGGTGGAATGAAGGTGAAGGCCGATCGCGACGAAGCTTCGCCGTACGCCGCCATGCTTGCCGCCCAGGACGTGGCCGCCAAGTGCAAGGAGGTGGGCGTCACCGCTCTGCATATCAAGATTCGCGCCACTGGTGGCAACCGGACCAAGACTCCGGGCCCCGGTGCGCAGTCGGCTCTTCGTGCGCTTGCTCGTAATGGCTTGAAGATCGGACGTATTGAGGACGTCACTCCCATCCCGACAGACAGCACACGCCGAAAAGGTGGTCGCCGTGGTCGTCGTCTATAGGCGTACTGTGGAACCATCCCGGACAAACTTGTTTGCTCGTTGGTGGAAGGAAGTCTATGGCAGCTGCTTCTGGACTGGGAGATATAGGCAGCTTCGACATCCGCCGTGGTCAACTCTGGGCTATGCTGGTGCCTCTGCGTCTATGTGGCAAGCAATCGTTTGTTACTTGTAAGGCAGTAATGGAATCACGTCAGCTGGCTCGGATGTCAAGCGGATGTTGTCGCTCATAGCACATTTTGTTGGTGAATGTTGCGTTTCTTAAGATATCACTCCTACGTAGGACGCAGCAGACAGCCAAGCACGCCCGGACCACTCCACGTCTGCGGGATCAGCTCCAAAGCCAGCAGATGCGTTTCTCGACGCACAAGCACGCGGATGCCGCTGCCAATATTGCGCTCCACAATGTCCTTGACTGCCGCCAACTCTCGGTGATTACTAGCGTCAGCCGTGCCAAAACGTAGCACCTCATCCAGCGGCTGCAGCCCAGCTGTCTCGGCTGGAGACTCACTCTGCACACTCTCCACCACTGCAAACGGCTGCAAGTGTCTCTCATCAGTATTCACCTCATGCAGCGTCTGCTTCCACTTGTTCTCCAGCGCCTCAAGAGACACACTTAAAACAGCACCAGCAGTAGCAGTGGCAGCAGCAGCAGCAGCACCTTTGTCCTCAGCAAATGACTCGACTCGTGTCGACGTCTTCTCCAAGTCGCTACTGCGAGCAGCAAACACTCTGCATTTCACCAGCCGCAATCGAGCACAAGAGGCATGTTAACCTCCTCCTCCTCCTTCTCCCCCGCATAGAATCATCCCATCAACGTACAGTGGCAAGAGCTCTTCAATCGTCTGCATCACCTGCTTATGGTCCGTCTGCTTCCGTGCCAGCAAGTGGCGGACATGTCTCACTCGATAGACATCCACGTCCGCACGTGGAAAGCCCTCAGCGTCCACCAATGGACCAGTCACTCCTGGGTTCTGTCCCGATGTCAATTCCGCTACATACGCCGCAATCTCCTCTTCAATCACCTGCTTAGTCTCCACGGCAAGCTCGTACTTGGCTACAACGTCGTCGTCAGTCGACATTGGAACTGGATTAAGTGCGAGTCCGAAGGGTGAAGCTAGTAGTGAGTGGGCGCAAGGTTGAAGCCGAGCTTTTAAAATCGTACTTATCGGCGTGTCCATCTGAAAATAACGTGGTTAGGTGTCCTTGACTCGTAGTAAGTACGATCTAGCCTGTTCCCCTCATTGATCGATTAGCATGATAAGTGTCACTCTATGGCTAGGTCAGTACTGTGATGCACGCATGTGATTGGTTTAAAACCAATTGAAGGTGACCATGATCACTCAAGCAAATGCTGGACGCTCATAAGCACTGGCTGATCGCGTTGCCACAGTATACTGTATTAGATTAATCCAGACGCTGACAGCATCATACCCTTTCTTCAGTGACTGCTGTTGTATATTGTGTTGCACCCTGATTCAGTTCTCCGAGCTGGATTACGTGTATCAAAGAGCGAGCTGCACAGCTTGCTCGTCTTTTTTTATTTTAATGAGGAGGCACGTAACGACCACAATAAAAGATGCGCTAACGGTCACGTAATTCGCTAAATACATCATTCGTTTTGACCAATCACTAGACCTCATTTCAATGAGTTTCTTTGCGTGCTACCTGTTGACGCCGGTGCAGCCGCCCCAGCGCATGCGATGCACCTACTTGGGCTTCACCGTGTCCCCTGTGCGTCGATTACGTCAACACAATGGCGAACTTGTCAATGGCGCCAAGCGGACGCGCAGGTACCGGCCATGGTACGAATGCATTCATGATATTGTGCCGCTGGGACAAGTTGATTGGGATTTTGTATGCTCTTCTTTTTGTGGCTGTAGGGAGATGATTGTGATCGTTCACGGGTTCCCAAGCAAGTACCGAGCCCTTCAATGTACGTTGCGCTGAAGCTCTGACTGTTGGTAGATGGATGGACACCTTACTTTGATTGTCTTTGGTTGGCTTCTAGTCGAGTGGGTATGGCAACATCCTTTTGTAAGTAAACTCACCAAGTCGCAACTGAATTTTTTACGCGGGTCAAGAGGATTTGGAGCTCCTCAATCCGTGAAGAGAAAGTTAATAGAAGTGCTGGAGATTGTGAACGTGGAACCATTTAAAAGCCTAAAGCTTACCGTAAGCTTCACGAGCAACGAAGTACACAGTATTGCTCGCGGATTAGGGGCGAGATATGGTTGTGTGACATGCGAAACACGCGCCTTGACTACTTTTGCAGGTGCTGGAAAGAAGGTTATGCTACCGACAACGTCAACGTGTTATATCTGCGAGAATAATCTGCATGCTGAATTGGAAGATGGAGAAGAAATACGGCACGAAGAAGCCATTAGGTGCTACTATGAACAATGTGAGATGTGGTGCCATTTATTGTGTCTAGCAGATCATTTCCGGTCAATGAACGACGAAGAGGGTGAGACACAAGATCTGGTTGGGAGCGGTGAATGTCCGAAGTGCCAGCAAACTTTGCAGCTATCGGTAATGTCGCGGCGTCATGGAGAAACCGTAATGAAAGCAAATACAAAGAGCAAGGAAAGACAGAAACAAAGTTGGGGGAGACCGCGAAGTGTAAGACGAATCGCAAATGACGACTTATCGAAGTCTGATACTGTTGTGGAACCTGAAGAAAGAGTCGCAAAAGAAGGAAGCAGTCAAGCGCGCATGGTTGCGGTCAATGTTGGCCCGTCATTACCGCCGGATGAGTTTGTTGCTGCTGAATATGACTCAGATGGCTGGTTCGAAGACGAAGACATGCATTGTCTTGATGGTAGTAACGGCGATATGATGGCACTGCACAGCCAGCGTTCGAATAGCTTTGGAGATGTTCGCGATGCTCAAACGGTCGTGCGTTGCAAAACCGAAACGTTACTGATCGACTTGACCGAATAGTAATCTGTTTGCGCCGATACGCTGGATGATGTGCGGCCAGAGGATACTATTCAAATAATGGTGGACTCTGTCGATAAGAGGCTATGTGCTGTAGAGTAGACCAGATCTCGTAAATCGCGGCTTATACGTCTACTGTAGCGAGTAGACGAGCATGCATGTGCACACTAGCCTGCAACAGTGGTATCGAATATGTTCTTCTACCTCATGGAATGCGAAAATGCTATCGCTTAGCACTCTTACTTGATTTGCGTGCGCCGCCATTAATGCTTGTGAGTCGTTATTTGTAGACAAAAGCCAATACTGTTTGTCGTTGATCTGATCGCCCATGTTGACACAGGCGTGCAATAAACGAGCTATAAACCTGGTGGTTACTGACAGAGTGTAACGGGGTGAATCGTTACATAACAATTTATAAGAAATTGTTAATAGAATATAACTATAAGAGTTATATTCTCAGAATATTGTCATAAGGACAAATATTCTGTAGCACTTACAAGTAGTTCCTAATTGGTTGATATAGGCCATTATATCAACCAACGAAGACGCGCCACGACAGACGCACGCAATGAGTGGTGAGCAGATAACTGATTTACACATTTGTATTTAGACATAGTTAGATGAAGATAAATAGTGATTTATTGCAGACATTAACTATACTAAATACAGTTCTACTTTTTACTCTAACCAAGTACTCGCTTCTTCTTACCGTCTTCCTCTGCACGTACCAGTGTACGTGAAGTTACGAGGCACCGCCTTATTCTGTCATCAGAATAAGTAGCTTGTACTGTCACCAGTACAAGCTTCAGGGTGCCCCGTTACACCTGGTAGCACTTTGTATTCCGTCCAAGGACCGCGTTCACGTCCAACATGAATATGTTGGATGATGAAGATGACCAAAGCTTTCACGCTACGCGTGACGGCTACTCCCATTTGAGTGATGTCGAATGGGATGCGGTTGAACGAATGGGTTCGACCATGGGCATCCATGCTGTTAGCGTCATGCTAGAGGCTCTCAATAGAGATGCCCAACATGCTACTATCGCCAAGTTCATTCAAAATGAACTTGACGCTGAACGCGAGAAAGTAGCCTTGCTTCACCAACAAGGTTCTCAGCAAGCAGAGTTGTTGAGAGAACAGGGTGCTCAACAGTTTGAACTGTTGAGACAGCAGCAGGCTGCTGCTGGTGGGTCGATGCACTCGCGTAGACCCGAAACCTTGAAGATTGACATCTCCAAGTATAGGGGGGTCGAAGAAGACTCCCTCTTGAGATGGTTCGTCGAATTGGATGACGCCATAAGGGCGCGTCGCATCGACGACGGGGATATGCAAGTTGCATTTGCCCAGTCAAATCTGGCAGGACGTGCCAAGACTTGGGCACTGGGGCTCAAGTTGCACGACCCATATGCGTTTGGGTCGTTGGAAGTCTTCAAGTCGCGGCTCAGACAAACGTTTGAACCGCCAAGAGCTGAGTTCAGGGCTCGAACCGAACTCTTGAAGCTCAAACAGGGTAAGCGTGATGTACACGCTTACGCCCAACATATACGAAATCTTACGAGTTGTATAAGTTCCAATCCGGTGGATGAACACACGTTGGTTTCGGTGTTCATGCAGGGTCTTGCGGATGGTCCCGTCAAGACTCACCTGTTCCGGCTTGAACTAGATTCACTAGAACAAGCCATTTCCATTGCGGAGCAGGAAGACTTCAGTCTGAGACAGGCTCGCGCCAGCTCGACATCATATCGTCAACCGAGACGATATGACAACGGAGGTCCAGAGCCGATGGAACTCTGTTATGTAGAGAGCGAGAAGGCTCGCTCTACAGGCTACAAGAAGTTGCAGAGATGCAACAGATGTCAAAAGACAGGAAACTACGCTTACGAGTGTAGTGCCCCTCGTCCAGTGTCTCGCGACACTGGGCGTAGTGACCGTCCACCCATGAGAAAGGGGCAGGGACGCGGGTCCGCTGTTGGTGCAAAGACGCAACAACGGGATGGACCGTAAAAAAACGGACAGGATCAGTAGGTGCGGAGCACCCTACTGGTCTAGCAACGTCAAGAGAATTTGTAGGCCTCTTGATGAAGGTTGCTCCCAACACACAAACGCTGTGCGTTGCTGCTCTAGGTAATGAGGTCTCACTCATTACCTTGAAACTCGAAGTGACGAATAAGTTGTCCCTTCGAGCTCTAGTCGATTGTGGGGCGTCCAACAATTTTGTGCGACGCCAATCGCTAGAAGATGGTCACTTTAAATTCAGTGAATGTGACACACCTCCTACGAGGATGACGGTACGTCTTGCGACAGGCGCATCCGTAACCGTCATGAAGCGTATAGTGAAGATCCACTATACGCTAGAAGATACCCAATATGACGATGACTTTATCGTATTGGAATTGGATGACAAATTTGATGTCATCCTTGGAATACCGTGGCTCAGAAGGTACGAACCACGGGTAAACTGGCAACATCGGACAGTAACGATGCCTGCCGCTTGTTCATCAGATGGCCATCTGATGAACGTTTTGGAGCGTCCACAAGCGTGTGGATGTACTACGAGTGAGTGCGATGGCCTCACTTGTGGTACGGTCGTTAGTACGACTGCACAAAACCTTAGTGTAACAAACGGTTACACTTCGGAGCAAAGTTCCGGCGGCTGTGAGGAAACACAGGCTGCGCCGAAGGTCCACCACTCGAATAAGTCGGGTGGACTGGGACAAAGATGTATCCCTAGCGGGGAACATCTAGAAGAGAAACAATCGATCGCTCAGGTTAAGCGAAACGATAATCCTAGATCGACTGGAGAGTCTTTCGTAGATGATCTCGCTGTGGTTGCGCAACCCCAGCTAGAGGAAGTAAAGGGAATAAGTCCCAAGATTACAAATACGGCGGAAATAAGTTCCCCGAAACCCGCGGGAATAAGTCCCCGGGAAGCCGAAGGAATAAGTCCTTCGAAGCCTGAGGGAATAAGTCCCCAGGAAATGACAGAGACATTGAATGTCATAGTCAATAACGGATCAAGTGTAGGCGCTTATACACTTGATCTGATTGCGCCTCCGAAGTTGACTTCGGAGATCACTCAGTTGCCAACGCTCGAACATAAAAGGTTCTTGCGTGATCTGCGTAGTGGCAAAGTCAAGCAGATCTGCATACTCGTCGCTGACGACGAGTGTGTAACCGACATAAGGTCAGCAACAGTGTTCACTGAGAACGAGAGAGTTCTCAGTAGTTCATCTATGGACGAAAGTGTCCTAGATGAAAAGACACGAATTGAGCGATATGACTCCCAATCGTGGGAATCGCTCAAGAAAAATCCTCTCTATGAAGATTTGGTTGAATTCAAGGATGTATTCCTTGAAACTGTTCCGTGCGAATTACCGAAGGATAAAGGTATTCGACACGAGGTCGAGCTTAAACCAGGCTCGAAGTACTATGTCATGAAGCAGTGGCCACTGCCTCGTGAACAAGTACTTGCGATCGACAAGTTCTTTGCCGATCGTTTAGCTGCGGGCCATGTGAGGGAATCAACTTCCCCACATAGCTCTCCGACCTTCTGTGTGCGAAAAGCAACAGGAGGGTGGCGGATAGTGCACGCGTTCAACAAATTGAACGCTGCAACGGTACCGGCTCAGACGCCGATACCGAGGAAGGACGTAATCATTGATGGTATGTCAAAGAGTACCATCTTTTCGTCCATGGATTTGATGGATGGCTTCTATCAAATCCTTATGCGGGAACGGGATATACCCTATACCGCAGTTAGCACGCCTAGCGGCATGCTCTGGGAATGGCTAGTAATGCCACAAGGGCTTAGTAATGCCCCTGCCACGTTCAACAGATGTGTATCACATCTGTTGAGACCAGTACGCGAATTCGCGCCGAGTTATTTCGATGACGTATTCATCCATAGTCGCGCTATGGATGGAAAGTCGGACGTTGAGGTTCACAAGTACCACGTCCGACAAGTTCTTACAATCATGCGAAAGCATCAATTGTATGCTAACCTCAAGAAGTGTATATTTGCGGCAAGCGAAATACCACTTCTTGGGTGCATCGTTGGTAAGAACGGTGTACGTCCTGATCCCGAAAAGATCAAGGCGATCACCGACTGGCCTGTGCCGGTTGATGTCAAAGGTCTTCGAAAATTCCTTGGGCTAGCGGCGTATTTGCATAAGTATTCACGCAATTACGCCGAGATGACTGTGCACCTCTCTCGTTTGTTGAAAAAGAACGAGAGGTGGTTATGGAACGCTGAATGTCAGCGCTCCTTTGAGGGTATCAAGCAGAGCTTGATACAATCCCCAGTCCTAGCAATAGCCGATCAGGACAGGCCATTTCATGTGGTCTGTGATGCCAGCGATTTCGCAATCGGCTGTGCATTAATGCAGTACGACCTAGAAGGCGTTGAACGCGTCGTCTGCTATCAGTCGCGTTAGCTGCAACCAGCTGAGCGGAACTATCCAGTGCATGACAAGGAACTCCTTGCCATGAAGTATGCACTCGCGAAGTTCAGAGTCTATCTCTTAGGAGATAGACCCTTCATTGTTTACACTGACCATGCGTCATTACGCACGGCAGTGAACAGCCCGCACCTTTCACAACGAATGGCGCGGTGGTTGTCATTCTTTGCGGAATACAACTTTACGGTCGAGTACAAACCAGGACGACTTAATGTCGTCGCTGATGCACTCTCACGTCGTCCCGACTTTGAAACAGTCGCGAAACCCAACAGTGAGATAGTCACTGTTGCGGTTATGACGTCCTCAGTCCCATCTACAACGTTGTATGATGATGTGAGGCGGGCATACGCCCAAGATGGTGAGATAGTGAAGTTGTTGACACATCTCTCCCAACCATCTCGAGAATCGTTGAAACGATTGTCGTCTGCGTATCGATCTGCATCAGATCGATACACTACTCGTAACGGTTTACTGTATTATACAGCCGTTTCTGGTGACACACCACGTGTTGTCATTCCAGATGATACTGATCTGCGTTTGCGGATCATGTTCGAGTATCACGATGCTCCTATAGGAGGACATCGTGGCCGAGAGAAAACATATCTCACGGTAAGTCGAGACTTTTACTGGCCCCGCCAGTATCAGTTTGTGCGAAAGTATGTTCGCGCATGCGAAGTCTGTCAACGAGTGAAGTCAAGTCCTTCACTGCGTGCACCTTTACAGCCTCTACCGGTTCCGGCTGAGTGCTGGGAATCCATCTCAATGGATTTCGTCTTCGGGTTACCCAAAGACGCACGTGGGAATACGGGTATTCTCGTATTTGTTGACAGATTCAGCAAACTGGTACACCTTGTGGCTGTACCAGAGACAATCACGGCAAGTGGCTGTGCTTGTGTCTTTATTGACACCATCTTCCGACTTCATGGGTTGCCCCGTGAACTCGTATCAGACAGAGATCCACGATTCACTGCTGATTTCTGGCGTTCCGTGTTCAAATCACTCGGAACGCGCTTGAAGATGTCAACATCTGATCATCCAGAGTCAGATGGTCAGACGGAACGTGCCAATCGTGTCCTTGAAGAGATACTTCGAGGATACGTACACTCCTTTAAGAGTTGGAGTGAGTTTTTGCCAATGGTAGAGTTTGCCATCAACAACTCGGTGCATGCGTCCACGACACATACACCGTTTTACGTGAATGGCTTGCGCCATCCGCGTGTACCCACCTTACTAGAGTGTAACTCTGGTTTAAGGGGGGAGGGACTCGCGCGAGCAAAAACCGATTTGGTTCACGCTCATCACGCTCTGACGAAGAAGTCATTGCGTTTGATGCCGATATCGATAACATCGATATCGAAGAAGATGATGCCAGTGAGAGTGCGGAAGCCCTCACTGAAGAAAAGGTTGATGTTGCTGCAGTGCGCTCACAGCACACTGAAGCTAACGAGTCATCAGATGAGTTCATACTGGCTCGTGAAACGGTAGTCCGTTTTGTGCAAGACTCCATCGCCGAAGCGGTGGATAAGCAAAAGCAAAACGCTGACAAGAATGGAAGGGCAAACACTCTTTTATTTAATAAAGGTGACTTAGTCCTACTGTCTACGGTTAATCTACCAAGCATGTAGTGACTAACTTGGGTAGCAGTAAACTACTACCCAAGTACATCGGCCCATTTCGTGTATTGCACCGCCTAGGCAATGCATACACGATCGAGTTACCACGTAAGATGCGAACGCATCCCACGTTTTACGTTGGTCGGCTTAAGCCGTACCACCAGTACGCTGCTTCTTCCGATGAAGAACGCCCTTGCGCTCAAGCATCTCGCAGAGAGCCTTGTGCTCCCGATGGTGGGCATCAACAAGGGTCTGAAGAGCAGCTATCTCATCCCGAGACCGATCAGCAATCCCACGAGCTACCCTTAGCTCGTCACGAAGAGATGTTAGAGATCTCTCGTTCTCAAGCTGAGCATAGGCAAACTCAGCTCGATGCTTCGAGGCAGTGTCCGCCATTTGGAGACGCCTATTCCGCTCATGTTCGAGATCGTCGCGTAACCCTTGCGTTACGCGATCAAAGAAGCTCTCGGGAACACACCGATCCACATGATCGTGTGGGAGAGCGTCTTTCCTCCTCCTCCACCTCCATTAGAGGACTCTCGCGGTGGCCAGCGCTATCTAGTTGAGCAGCTGTTGAACCACCGCGACGTGAACGGGCGTCGGACGAGTTATCTCGTCCGGTGTCGCGGCTATCCCCCGTCCTGGGATTCTTGGGAGCCCCGCTCCCAACTGATGATCGACGTACTGGGTCTGGTTGAGCAGTACGACGCGGCACATCCTGTGCCGCAGAAGGACCGCCGGAGAAAGTCTTCCCGGCACGGTCGTAAAGGGATTTCAAGCTGTCAATCCCTTCGTACATCTCAGTAGAGATACGTACGCGCCACCACGGGCTGGTAAGGAGGTAAGCCTCCTTAGGTGCTCGTGCAGAGTTGTTTACACAACACGGGCACGAGTCTCCCCAAGAGAGGCAGGGTAATCCTTTCTCCCTTGACAGACGATGCAGCTTGTAGCGTGCACCTGTCGGGGTTCGCTTTTCAAACTTATCACGAGCTTTGATAAGTTTGTCGTTCCAAACGTCACGACCTACATCCTCAAGGTTATGGATGTAGGCGTTCCACGCCTGAAATAGTGAGGGACCATCACGTTTGTGATTCCCACTGTACCATCGATGTCTAAAGAAAGCATCGATGAAGAATTCATGTTCAGCGCGATAGTTTTTCGCGCTGGGGTCAAGGTGATGGATCCTTGACGAATCGAACAATCGTGTTCGATAACGATCACTCGTCGTCGCCGACAAGTGATCCATGACGGATTTAGGAAGCATCCATGCCTTCTTCTCAGGAGCGAGACGCAACACATTGCGGTCCCGCTCTTCCTGCGACGTGCCGACAGAAGTACTGGCACCTCGCTGTGAAGTGGTGTCCATAGGAGAACCGACACCACTATTAGCGCCCGAGTCTCGCGACCTCGATCGCCTTCGCTTCGGCGATGGTTCATCTGATTCATCAGATGAACCAAAGATGCTGCGACGCAAAGCATCGTCCATGCCACGCTTGGCAGGCGGCTTAGATTCAATCGCCGTCGATACGGATCCGTCATCCGTATCAGGAGAGTACGAGACACCGAGCTCGTACTCTGTGAAGACACGAGTGTCTTCATGACCAGCGCCTGCATCACCAAGTGACACAGGCTGGGTTGCTTCAGCAACCGATGAGACATCAGTTGCTGTTGTTTCTGCTTCGGCGTCCGCACAGAGACGTGCAGACGCGCTCTCGGCGGCCTTGCTCGCGCATCGCATGGGCTTGTTTACCATGCGATGAAATGTTGGAAAGTGGACGCGGACCAACAAATGCAAACCCTGTCCCAAATGATTTGGGACGAGTATCCATTTAGTCAATCAGTCACTAAAGTGACTGATGGTTAAGGGGGGGTGATGTAACGGGGTGAATCGTTACATAACAATTTATAAGAAATTGTTAATAGAATATAACTATAAGAGTTATATTCTCAGAATATTGTCATAAGGACAAATATTCTGTAGCACTTACGAGTAGTTCCTAATTGGTTGATATAGGCCATTATATCAACCAACGAAGACGCGCCACGACAGACGCACGCAATGAGTGGTGAGCAGATAACTGATTTACACATTTGTATTTAGACATAGTTAGATGAAGATAAATAGTGATTTATTGCAGACATTAACTATACTAAATACAGTTCTACTTTTTACTCTAACCAAGTACTCGCTTCTTCTTACCGTCTTCCTCTGCAAGTACCAGTGTACGTGAAGTTACGAGGCACCGCCTTATTCTGTCATCAGAATAAGTAGCTTGTACTGTCACCAGTACAAGCTTCAGGGTGCCCCGTTACACAGAGACTCTTACGGTCTAAGGATTTTACACTGTCCATTTATGTGTTGTACGCAAATTCAAGGGAGCTTGCAGATTAACCCCTTTTCGCAAGGTCCACTCCATTTTTTTCAAGGTAAACACTCCGTAACATGTAGTGCAGTCATTCCTCGGGTAGCTCGTATGTAACGGGGTGAATCGTTACATAACAATTTATAAGAAATTGTTAATAGAATATAACTATAAGAGTTATATTCTCAGAATATTGTCATAAGGACAAATATTCTGTAGCACTTACGAGTAGTTCCTAATTGGCTGATATAGGCCATTATATCAACCAACGAAGACGCGCCACGACAGACGCACGCAATGAGTGGTGAGCAGATAATTGATTTACACATTTGTATTTAGACATAGTTAGATGAAGATAAATAGTGATTTATTGCAGACATTAACTATACTAAATACAGTTCTACTTTTTACTTTAACCAAGTACTCGCTTCTTCTTACCGTCTTCCTCTGCACGTACGAGTGTACGTGAAGTTACGAGGCACCGCCTTATTCTGTCATCAGAATAAGTAGCTTGTACTGTCACCAGTACAAGCTTCAGGGTGCCCCGTTACACCTGGTAGCACTTTGTAGTCCGTCCAAGGACCGCGTTCACGTCCAACATGAATATGTTGGATGATGAAGATGACCAAAGCTTTCACGCTACGCGTGACGGCTACTCCCATTTGAGCGATGTCGAATGGGATGCGGTTGAACGAATGGGTTCGACCATGGGCATCCATGCTGTTAGCGTCATGCTAGAGGCTCTCAATAGAGATGCCCAACATGCTACTATCGCCAAGTTCATTCAAAATGAACTTGACGCAGAACGCGAGAAAGTAGCCTTGCTTCACCAACAAGGTTCTCAGCAAGCAGAGTTGTTGAGAGAACAGGGTGCTCAACAGTTTGAACTGTTGAGACAGCAGCAGGCTGCTGCTGGTGGTTCGATGCATTCGTGTCGACCCGAGACCTTGAAGATTGACATCTCCAAGTATAGGGGGGTCGAAGAGGACTCCCTCTTGAGATGGTTCGTCGAATTGGATGACGCCATAAGGGCGCGTCGCATCGACGACGGGGATATGCAAGTTGCATTTGCCCAGTCAAATCTGGCAGGACGTGCCAAGACTTGGGCACTGGGGCTCAAGTTGCACGACCCATATGCGTTTGGGTCGTTGGAAGTCTTCAAGTCGCGGCTCAGACAAACGTTTGAACCGCCTAGAGCTGAGTTCAGAGCTCGAACCGAACTCTTGAAGCTCAAGCAGGGTAAGCGTGATGTACACGCTTACGCTCAACATACACGACATCTCACGAGTTGTATAAGTTCCAATCCGGTGGATGAACACACGTTGGTTTCGGTGTTCATGCAGGGTCTTGCGGATGGTCCCGTCAAGACTCACCTGTTCCGGCTTGAACTAGATTCACTAGAACAAGCCATTTCCATTGCGGGGCAGGAAGACTTCAGTCTGAGACAGGCTCGCGCCAGCTCGACATCATATCGTCAACCGAGACGATATGACAACGGAGGTCCAGAGCCGATGGAACTCTGTTATGTAAAGAGCGAGAAGGCTCGCTCTACAGGCTACAAGAGGTTGCAGAGATGCAACAGATGTCAAAAGACAGGACACTACGCTTACGAGTGTAGTGCCCCTCGTCCAGTGTCTCGCGACACTGGGCGTAGTGACCGTCCACCCATGAGAAAGGGGCAGGGACGCGGGTCCGCTGTTGGTGCAAAGACGCAACAACGGGATGGACCGTCAAAAAACGGACAGGATCAGTAGGTGCGGAGCACCCTACTGGTCCAGCAACGTCAAGAGAATTTGTAGGCCTCTTGATGAAGGTTGCTCCCAACACACAAACGTTGTGCGTTGCTGCTCTAGGTAATGAGGTCTCACTCATTACCTTGAAACTCGAAGTGACGAATAAGTTGTCCCTTCGAGCTCTAGTCGATTGTGGGGCGTCCAACAATTTTGTGCGACGCCAATCGCTAGAAGATGGTCACTTTAAATTCAGTGAATGTGACACACCTCCTACGAGGATGACGGTACGTCTTGCGACAGGCGCATCCGTAACCGTCATGAAGCGTATAGTGAAGATCCACTATACGCTAGAAGATACCCAATATGACGATGACTTTATCGTATTGGAATTGGATGACAAATTTGATGTCATCCTTGGAATACCGTGGCTCAGAAGGTACGAACCACGGGTAAACTGGCAACATCGGACAGTAACGATGCCTGCCGCTTGTTCATCAGATGGCCATCTGATGAACGTTTTGGAGCGTCCACAAGCGTGTGGATGTACTACGAGTGAGTGCGATGGCCTCACTTGTGGTACGGTCGTTAGTACGACTGCACAAAACCTTAGTGTACCAAACGGTTACACTTCGGAGCAAAGTTCCGGCGGCTGTGAGGAAACACAGGCTGCGCCGAAGGTCCACCACTCGAATAAGTCGGGTGGACTGGGACAAAGATGTATCCCTAGCGGGGAACATCTAGAAGAGAAACAATCGATCGCTCAGGTTAAGCGAAACGATAATCCTAGATCGACTGGAGAGTCTTTCGTAGATGATCTCGCTGTGGTTGCGCAACCCCAGCTAGAGGAAGTAAAGGGAATAAGTCCCAAGATTACAAATACGGCGGAGATAAGTTCCCCGAAACCCGCGGGAATAAGTCCCCGGGAAGCCGAAGGAATAAGTCCTTCGAAGCCTGAGGGAATAAGTCCCCAGGAAATGACAGAGACATTAAATGTCCTAGCCAATGACGGATCAAGTGTAGGCGCTTATACACTTGATCTGATTGCGCCTCCGAAGTTGACTTCGGAGATCACTCAGTTGCCAACGCTCGAGCACAAAAGGTTCTTGCGTGATCTGCGTAGTGGCAAAGTCAAGCAGATCTGCATACTCGTCGCTGACGACGAGTGTGTAACCGACATAAGGTCAGCAACAGTGTTTACTGAGAACGAGAGAGTTCTCAGTAGTTCATCTATGGACGAGAGTGTCCTAGATGAAAAGACACGAATTGAGCGATATGACTCCCAATCGTGGGAATCGCTCAAGAAAAATCCTCTCTATGAAGATTTGGTTGAATTCAAGGATGTATTCCCTGAAACCGTTCCGTGCGAATTACCGAAGGATAAAGGTATTCGAAACGAGGTCGAGCTTAAACCAGGCTCGAAGTACTGTGTCATGAAGCAGTGGCCACTGCCTCGTGAACAAGTACTTGCGATCGACAAGTTCTTTGCCGATCGTTTAGCTGCGGGCCATGTGAGGGAATCAACTTCCCCACATAGCTCTCCGACCTTCTGTGTGCGAAAAGCAACAGGAGGGTGGCGGATAGTGCACGCGTTCAACAAATTGAACGCTGCAACGGTACCGGCTCAGACGCCGATACCGAGGAAGGACGTAATCATTGATGGTATGTCAAAGAGTACCATCTTTTCGTCCATGGATTTGATGGATGGCTTCTATCAAATCCTTATGCGGGAACGGGATATACCCTATACCGCAGTTAGCACGCCTAGCGGCATGCTCTGGGAATGGCTAGTAATGCCACAAGGGCTTAGTAATGCCCCTGCCACGTTCAACAGATGTGTATCACATCTGTTGAGACCAGTACGAGAGTTCGCGCCGAGTTATTTCGATGACGTATTCATCCATAGTCGAGCTATGGATGGAAAGTCGGACGTTGAGGTTCACAGGTACCACGTCCGACAAGTTCTTACAATCATGCGAAAGCATCAATTGTATGCTAACCTCAAGAAGTGTATATTTGCAGCAAGCGAAATACCACTTCTTGGGTGCATCGTTGGTAAGAACGGTGTACGTCCTGATCCCGAAAAGATCAAGGCGATCACCGACTGGCCTGTGCCGGTTGATGTCAAAGGTCTTCGAAAATTCCTTGGGCTAGCGGCGTATTTGCATAAGTATTCACGCAATTACGCCGAGATGACTGTGCACCTCTCTCGTTTGTTGAAAAAGAACGAGAGGTGGTTATGGAACGCTGAATGTCAGCGCTCCTTTGAGGGTATCAAGCAGAGCTTGATACAATCCCCAGTCCTAGCAATAGCCGATCAGGACAGGCCATTTCATGTGGTCTGTGATGCCAGCGATTTCGCAATCGGCTGTGCATTAATGCAGTACGACCTAGAAGGCGTTGAACGCGTCGTCTGCTATCAGTCGCGGCAGCTGCAACCAGCTGAGCGGAACTATCCAGCGCATGACAAGGAACTCCTTGCCATGAAGTATGCACTCGCGAAGTTCAGAGTCTATCTCTTAGGAGATAGACCCTTCATTGTTTACACTGACCATGCGTCATTACGCACGGCAGTGAACAGCCCGCACCTTTCACAACGAATGGCGCGGTGGTTGTCATTCTTTGCGGAATACAACTTTACGGTCGAGTACAAACCAGGACGACTTAATGTCGTCGCTGATGCACTCTCACGTCGTCCCGACTTTGAAACAGTCGCGAAACCCAACAGTGAGACAGTCACTGTAGCGGTTATGACGTCCTCAGTCCCATCTACAACGTTGTATGATGATGTGAGGCGGGCATACGCCCAAGATGGTGAGATTGTGAAGTTGTTGACACATCTTTCCCAACCATCCCGAGAATCGTTGAAACGATTGTCGCCTGCGTATCGATCTGCATCAGATCGATACACTACTCGTAACGGTTTACTGTATTATACAGCCGTTTCTGGTGACACACCACGTGTTGTCATTCCAGATGATACTGATCTGCGTTTGCGGATCATGTTCGAGTATCACGATGCTCCTGTAGGAGGACATCGTGGCCAGGAGAAAACATATCTCACGGTGAGCCGAGACTTTTACTGGCCCCGCCAGTATCAGTTTGTGCGAAAGTATGTTCGCGTATGCGAAGTCTGCCAACGAGTGAAGTCAAGTCCTTCACTGCGTGCACCTTTACAGCCTCTACCGGTTCCGGCTGAGTGCTGGGAATCCATATCAATGGATTTCGTCTTCGGGTTACCCAAAGACGCACGCGGGAATACGGGTATTCTCGTATTTGTTGACAGATTCAGCAAACTGGTACACCTTGTGGCTGTACCAGAGACAATCACGGCAAGTGGCTGTGCTTGTGTCTTTATTGACACCATCTTCCGACTTCATGGGTTGCCCCGTGAACTCGTATCAGACAGAGATCCACGATTCACTGCTGATTTCTGGCGTTCCGTGTTCAAATCACTCGGTACGCGCTTGAAGATGTCAACATCTGATCATCCAGAGTCAGATGGTCAGACGGAACGTGCCAATCGTGTCCTTGAAGAGATACTTCGAGGATACGTACACTCCTTTAAGAGTTGGAGTGAGTTTTTGCCAATGGTAGAGTTTGCCATCAACAACTCGGTGCATGCGTCCACGACACATACACCGTTTTACGTGAATGGCTTGCGCCATCCGCGTGTACCCACCTTACTAGAGTGTAACTCTGGTTTAAGGGGGGAGGGACTCGCGCGAGCAAAAACCGATTTGGTTCACGCTCATCACGCTCTGACGAAGAAGTCATTGCGTTTGATGCCGATATCGATAACATCGATATCGAAGAAGATGATGCCAGTGAGAGTGCGGAAGCCCTCACTGAAGAAAAGGTTGATGTTGCTGCAGTGCGCTCACAGCGCACTGAAGCTAACGAGTCATCAGATGAGTTCATACTGGCTCGTGAAACGGTAGTCCGTTTTGTGCAAGACTCCATCGCCGAAGCGGTGGATAAGCAAAAGCAAAACGCTGACAAGAATGGAAGGGCAAACACTCTTTTATTTAATAAAGGTGACTTAGTCCTACTGTCTACGGTTAATCTACCAAGCATGTAGTGACTAACTTGGGTAGCAGTAAACTACTACCCAAGTACATCGGCCCATTTCGTGTATTGCACCGCCTAGGCAATGCATACACGATCGAGTTACCACGTAAGATGCGAACGCATCCCACGTTTTACGTTGGTCGGCTTAAGCCGTACCACCAGTACGCTGCTTCTTCCGATGAAGAACGCCCTTGCGCTCAAGCATCTCGCAGAGAGCCTTGTGCTCCCGATGGTGGGCATCAACAAGGGTCTGAAGAGCAGCTATCTCATCCCGAGACCGATCAGCAATCCCACGAGCTACCCTTAGCTCGTCACGAAGAGATGTTAGAGATCTCTCGTTCTCAAGCTGAGCATAGGCAAACTCAGCTCGATGCTTCGAGGCAGTGTCCGCCATTTGGAGACGCCTATTCCGCTCATGTTCGAGATCGTCGCGTAACCCTTGCGTTACGCGATCAAAGAAGCTCTCGGGAACACACGGATCCACATGATTGTGTGGAGAGCGTCTTTCCTCCTCCTCCACCTCCATTAGAGGACTCTAGCGGTGACCAGCGCTATCAGGTTGAGCAGCTGTTGAACCACCGCGATGTGAACGGACGTCGGACGAGTTATCTCGTCCGGTGGCGCGGCTATCCCTCGTCCTGGGATTCTTGGGAGCCCCGCTCCCAACTGATGGTTGACGTACTGGGTCTGGTTGAGCAGTACGATGCGGCACATCCTGTACCGCAGAAGGACCGCCGGAGAAAGTCTTCCCGGCACGGTCGTAAAGGGATTTCAAGCTGTCAATCCCTTCGTACATCTCAGTAGAGATACGTACGCGCCACCACGGGCTGGTAAGGAGGTAAGCCTCCTTAGGTGCTCGTGCAGAGTTGTTTACACAACACGGGCACGAGTCTCCCCAAGAGAGGCAGGGTAATCCTTTCTCCCTTGACAGACGATGCAGCTTGTAGCGTGCACCTGTCGGGGTTCGCTTTTCAAACTTATCACGAGCTTTGATAAGTTTGTCGTTCCAAACGTCACGACCTACATCCTCAAGGTTATGGATGTAGGCGTTCCACGCCTGAAATAGTGAGGGACCATCACGTTTGTGATTCCCACTGTACCATCGATGTCTAAAGAAAGCATCGATGAAGAATTCATGTTCAGCGCGATAGTTTTTCGCGCTGGGGTCAAGGTGATGGATCCTTGACGAATCGAACAATCGTGTTCGATAACGATCACTCGTCGTCGCCGACAAGTGATCCATGACGGATTTTGGAGGCATCCATGCCTTCTTTTCAGAAGCGAGACGCAAGACATTGCGGTCCCGCTCTTCCTGCGACGTGCCGACAGAAGTACTGGCACCTCGCTGTGAAGTGGTGTCCATAGGAGAACCGACACCACTATTAGCGCCCGAGTCTCGCGACCTCGAGCGCCTTCGCTTCGGCGATGGTTCATCTGATTCATCAGATGAACCAAAGATGCTGCGACGCAAAGCATCGTCCATGCCACGCTTGGCAGGCGGCTTAGATTCAATCGCCGTCGATACGGATCCGTCATCCGTATCAGGAGAGTACGAGACACCGAGCTCGTACTCTGTGAAGACACGAGTGTCTTCATGACCAGCGCCTGCATCACCAAGTGACACAGGCTGGGTCGCTTCAGCAACCGATGAGACATCAGTTGCTGTTGTTTCTGCTTCGGCGTCCGCACAGAGACGTGCAGACGCGCTCTCGGCGGCCGCACAGAGACGTGCAGACGCGCTCTCGGCGGCCTTGCTCGCGCATCGCATGGGCTTGTTTACCATGCGATGAAATGTTGGAAAGTGGACGCGGACCAACAAGTGCAAACCCTGTCCCAAATGATTTGGGACGAGTATCCTTGTAGTCAATCAGTCACTAAAGTGACTGATGGTTAGGGGGGGTGATGTAACGGGGTGAATCGTTACATAACAATTTATAAGAAATTGTTAATAGAATATAACTATAAGAGTTATATTCTCAGAATATTGTCATAAGGACAAATATTCTGTAGTACTTACGAGTAGTTCCTAATTGGTTGATATAGGCCATTTTATCAACCAACGAAGACGCGCCACGACAGACGCACGCAATGAGTGGTGAGTAGATAATTGATTTACACATTTGTATTTAGACATAGTTAGATGAAGATAAATAGTGATTTATTGCAGACATTAACTATACTAAATACAGTTCTACTTTTTACTTTAACCAAGTACTCGCTTCTTCTTACCATCTTCCTCTGCACGTACGAGTGTACGTGAAGTTACGAGGCACCGCCTTATTCTGTCATCAGAATAAGTAGCTTGTACTGTCACCAGTACAAGCTTCAGGGTGCCCCGTTACATCGTAGGCTTGAGGGAGACAACTTTTATAAATTAGCTAAATTATGAGCTACGCGAATTTTCGATTTTCTTTTCGTATGCGGAAACAATCAGTAAATTAACGGTGTTCCCTATAAATTTCAAATACCAATGTCCCAAGTACTGTCACCAGTGCAAAAAGGCACGATTTCGGCCAGCACAAGGCCAAGAATATAAAAATGAGCCAGAGTGTTCTGGCAAATTGGGCTTACAGCAAGATGGCGTTCCAGATCACCCAGAACGCCATCCCTCTCATAATCAAGAAGCGCACTGATCTAGAATCTTTGGCAGATGGCAACCTTTTTGCCAAAAAGTTCGGGAAGTGTTCAAAATCCAAAACTAAAGAAAGGTCAGTCAACTCAAATGCTTTAAAGTCAAGCAAGGCATGTTTTACTGATTATAAAAACCTTATCGAGGTCCAGGACTTGGTGTTTTCTGAACATCGAGGTCAATGCCTAAGTGTTTTCTGAACGTCTTGGCATATCAGAGGACATCGTCAAGATTTCCAGTGAATGGTCGCAACGCTTTCAGCAGTAAAACAAGCTGCGTAGCGTCGTAATTTTTGGGGATAGTACTTCAGCAAATGAAGGAGCCATGAATGCGGCATTGACTGATATTAGAGCTGTAATTGCTTGCTACGAGCCTTACGATGCTTTATAACACAAACAAAATTAAAGTGTGAGAAAATTTAAATAATTATTTAGGGTGATGTTGTAATTTACTGAAAAAAATTGTGCATACAACATAATTAAAGGATGACAGTTCCATTGGTGATGGAACTGTCATCCTTTAGTAATGTTGTAAATTTTGATTGAGGGCCTAAAGAAATAGAAAGTCAGGGTTGATTTAACTTCTAGAAAGAAACTTAATTATAATTTGTTCCAACAGTTTGTTTCCTTTTTTAGGTACGAATCTCTATTGCCTTCACGGCCAACGCGGATGGTACTAAAGATGTGCATTTGCATGGCTAATACCACTAAGGGAACCATAAGTTTTGCATTCACTAGTTTAGTCACTCAGACGTTTATCCTCTCCCTTCAATTGTGCATTATTATGATGGAATTTGTTGATTTTTCTCAGCGTCATTCTCGTGTAATTTTTTGGCCCCCAGAAAATCGTAAATTCCCGCTGGTTACAAATTAAAAATTATGAGTGAGCGACTTTAGAACGAGTGTGGTGGAACGCAATTTGAATGAGTCATACGAGTAGTGCATTATGAGGATAAAACTTGCCCAAGAATTGACTTTACGTCCTAAGTCGATACCGGGCCATTAATTAAATTATGTTTATAAATACTTGCGGAGATTCAATCTAGACAGGTCTTAATGTACCGCACGGCTGCGTTCATTAGCTCTAACGACTGTCGAGAAGGTGAAAAGTTTATGCGCGTGAGCCATGCGACACACTGTCACGGCTGATACGACATGACTGTTTAAGGTCAGCGGTTGACACCGATGAAATGCCAAGAAATTAATGAGGTTGATATTAGGTGTCATCGCCTGCAGTCGATTAGTGCAGGTCAACAGCTCTATAGAAAGTATCTAAAAACACGGCTACGTTTGCGACAATGGAAGATATGGAGTGGGACACGAAAAGTTGTAGTCAAATCAAACAGCGTGTGGAATTTCTGTACGATGTGCGAGGAACGCTTAAAAAACGTTATCTTTATGTGCGTGATATAAAGGCACCTTGTTCTATTCTAATACCTGTAGAGCTCTATTCTGAAGTAAATCTACCATCAATATATTTGGCGAGAGGTTCCCAGCAACCTTTGCAGACCCTGCGACTGTATCGAACGTGTGTTTCAGCCGAGAAAATAGTCAGCTTCATCATCTAAAACCTTACTAATCATTTACCCACGTAGATTGCTATTGGGGTAGATACTAGCTTCGACTAAAGCTGCTTTTATTATTGAAGTAACGACTGTAACATCAACAGCTAGATAGTCAAACTTTTGATCGACGTCCTCTATCGGACGGCAGTTCGTGCAGCTTCCCAAATCAATTTTTGTGATTTAGAACTTGTGCATCCCGTTGTCGCAATCGAAGAAAGTCAGCTCGGAAGAATGAGATGGGCTTTCTACCACTTCACAAGACCGTGATCCGCCAGCAAATTTTTATTGTAGGCGCAGTGGATACATTTAGTATTTTGAATGACCGAGTTCTGCTCTCTTCGGCGGGTCCTACCCCCCCCCCCAACCGGATGGCCATGAGTTATGGGATTCTCTGGGGTCCAGCCAGTCCAGGTCTTCCAACCATTTAATCCGATAGGTTATGCTTCTATCAGAGGTCGAGATCAGGGGTATCGGGGTTCCCGGGTGGTACAACTGCGACTTATGTGTCACACCTTCCAGATATTGGATTGTTCAAAAGGGAAACTGAACTGACAATCAATGTATAGGAACGTCGGTGCTTACATAAGAAACCAGGGGCAAATTCCGCTCAGTAGCAGCTCGGCTGTGTCTTTTACTTTGTGCTCTAGGCACTCATGACAGGCCCTTGGCTGGCAGAGGGACCGGGTCGGGCCAGAGGTGCTTGTTGGAAGGCAACTTTGGGGTTTGTGGTAAAAGTGAGACTGAATTAAATGTTAGCGATAGCACGTGGCGCTCTAAAGATACTCGATTATTCTATTCTGTGTGTCGTGAGCGCTCGCCTTGTACTACGTCCCATGCGCGTGGGGACATACCGGCTAATTTTGGTCTGTTCGGTAATGATATGCAATGAGCTAACGGTTGGTCGGACCAGGATAAAGTGGAGATGACGTCTTAGTCATTTCATGCTTTCCTAATGAGCTTGTGCGCTAACACGGGTACAAGAGTCGGATGCTTACTTGCTGCGTGGTCGATCCTTTGTCGATTGTGATCGTGTTGTTCTCGTGGACGTCACGTGATGGTGAATGGTCCATTGACTACTGGACGAGTCTTTGCGCGAAAACGCTTTAATACTCGGATCATCACGTTTTCACTGACGTTGTATTAGTGCGAAATGCGCCTGTCATTATTTCGATCGTTGTCGGCGAGAATCGCGTCGAATCGCCACTTTCACATAAAGCTCCAGTTTGCTTCGTAGAGCTTGCGTATGATCATGTCCTGACCAAGGATGAGTTGACCAGGTAATGAATTTAGGATTCTGTGGTAATTGGCTCGAACAGCGAATGCAGCGCAGTGCTGTGTTTTCTTCCAGCAATATTGTCGTGGCAACGAACAACATAGAGAAGATCCATGTGAAAGCTTTTGCAGATTGCTTGGCTTGCAGGTTTTTTGAAGTGATCGGTTTCAACTTGATCCCATAGCTCTGCAAGAGGTCTTAGAACACCTCACCAGTGAGCTCAGCACCGATATCATGAACGACTTGAAGTGGACGTATATAACGGCAAATCCACTCGCGTCCAAAGCTTTTTGCTGTGCCAGGTTGTTCTTGTCTGATTAAACGCCGACTATGAGCCAGCGTGTCACTTAATCGATGATTGTGATACCGTAAAAGCCATCGTACGGACCAACAAGGTCGACTTGCACGACGTCCCACGAATTAAATGTCTCAATCGTCCTTGGTGGTACTAGTCCGTAGTCTTGTCTGGCGCCGTGGACTCTAGCTATTTGTACATCAGAAACAACTTGACGCACTTGATGTAGACGCTTACACTACAGGCCAGTAGAGCGACTGTCGCATCGTCTTGTACGGACGATCAGGACCAGAGTGCCAGAGATTGTGGTGGTGCCAATCCAGGATGTCGCCACGCAACGTGTCTGGGACAACGACGCGACCTTGAAATGCGACAAGCGTGCATCCTAGGAGAGCAATCAACTTTTAGTCCGGGTTGTTCTGGCCGGAAAGGCACGCAGACTTGATCGTCTGGATTGTTTCATCGCGTTCGTGGTGCTGGCGGATGACTGGGCCGTGCATGACACCTGGTGGATTACACGTCGCGGCGTTGATCTCGTCGTGCATTTGCGCTTGTTCTGATGTGTCAAATCTCATTCGAGAAAAGGCTTTCGCCCCTACGTTCTTTGTGCCTTTGATGAAGTGCAGCGACAAACGGTACTTAAAAAGCATCAGCTTCCGGGGCTTGACTCTGAGACTCGTTTCGTTCGGAAAATTTAGATTTTTGTGATCGATATGCACCATGACCTCGAAGCCAAGCAGCTTGGTGCGCTACTCGTAAAGCAGCTCCCCAATCTACAGGAGCTCGAGCTCCTTCGTTGCTCAGTTCTTATGGTGCATAATGAGCGTGCATGAGTAAAAAGCAAGGATCTTGTTTTCTTGCATCACGATGCCACCAAGCTGCTTTCCACTTACATCAGCGTAGACGTGAAATGGAAGGTCAGATTTATGGAACGCTAGCAACACAGCTTCTAAAAACGCCTTCTGGACGGCGCGGAACACGTCGGTGTCGCTTTGCAGCCATGTATTTGCAAATTTAAAGCTCGTGAATGGATTCAGCGGAGCAAATAGTGCTGACTTGTTGGGGACTATATCGAAATAGTCATTGATCATGCATCGGAATCTACGCAGCTCTTTCTTATTGCGAGGAATGGCAATCTTTTGTTGATTGCTTGGATCTTCTTTGATTGTGGTTGAATGCCCTGAGCTTTAAGTGTAAAGCCGAGTTAGTCGACAAATTTGCGCAGCACGTGACAATTCTGGCCATTAAATGTCACGCCGTGCTTGGGCAGACGCTAGAACAGCACACGCAGGTGCTCGATGTGCTCGATCTCGGCATTCGAGTACACGTGTAAGTCATTCAAGTAAACGACTGTAACGGGGCACCCTGAAGCTTGTACTGGTGACAGTACAAGCTACTTATTCTGATGACAGAATAAGGCGGTGCCTCGTAACTTCACGTACACTCGTACGTGCAGAGGAAGACGGTAAGAAGAAGCGAGTACTTGGTTAAAATAAAAAGTAGAACTGTATTTAGTATAGTTAATGTCTGCAATAAATCACTATTTATCTTCATCTAACTATGTCTAAATACAAATGTGTAAATCAATTATCTGCTCACCACTCATTGCGTGCGTCTGTCGTGGCGCGTCTTCGTTGGTTGATAAAATGGCCTATATCAACCAATTAGGAACTACTCGTAAGTGCTACAGAATATTTGTCCTTATGACAATATTCTGAGAATATAACTCTTATAGTTATATTCTATTAACAATTTCTTATAAATTGTTATGTAACGATTCACCCCGTTACATCACCCCCCTTAACCATCAGTCACTTTAGTGACTGATTGACTAAATGGATACTCGTCCCAAATCATTTGGGACAGGGTTTGCACTTGTTGGTCCGCGTCCACTTTCCAACATCTCATCGCATGGTAAACAAGCCCATGCGATGCGCGAGCAAGGCCGCCGAGAGCGCGTCCGCACGTCTCTGTGCGGACGCCGAAGCAGAAACAACAGCAACTGATGTCTCATCGGTTGCTGAAGCAACCCAGCCTGTGTCACTTGGTGATGCAGGCGCTGGTCATGAAGACACTCGTGTCTTCACAGAGTACGAGCTCGGTGTCTCGTACTCTCCTGATACGGATGACGGATCCGTATCGACGGCGATTGAATCTAAGCCGCCTGCCAAGCGTGGCATGGACGATGCTTTGCGTCGCAGCATCTTTGGTTCATCTGATGAATCAGATGAACCATCGCCGAAGCGAAGGCGATCGAGGTCGCGAGACTCGGGCGCTAATAGTGGTGTCGGTTCTCCTATGGACACCACTTCACAGCGAGGTGCCAGTACTTCTGTCGGCACGTCGCAGGAAGAGCGGGACCGCAATGTCTTGCGTCTCGCTCCTGAAAAGAAGGCATGGATGCCTCCAAAATCCGTCATGGATCACTTGTCGGCGACGACGAGTGATCGTTATCGAACACGATTGTTCGATTCGTCAAGGATCCATCACCTTGACCCCAGCGCGAAAAACCATCGCGCTGAACATGAATTCTTCATCGATGCTTTCTTTAGACATCGATGGTACAGTGGGAATCACAAACGTGATGGTCCCTCACTATTTCAGGCGTGGAACGCCTACATCCATAACCTTGAGGATGTAGGTCGTGACGTTTGGAACGACAAACTTATCAAAGCTCGTGATAAGTTTGAAAAGCGAACCCCGACAGGTGCACGCTACAAGCTGCATCGTCTGTCAAGGGAGAAAGGATTACCCTGCCTCTCTTGGGGAGACTCGTGCCCGTGTTGTGTAAACAACTCTGCACGAGCACCTAAGGAGGCTTACCTCCTTACCAGCCCGTGGTGGCGCGTACGTATCTCTACTGAGATGTACGAAGGGATTGACAACTTGAAATCCCTTTACGACCGTGCCGGGAAGACTTTCTCCGGCGGTCCTTCTGCGGCACAGGATGTGCCGCGTCGTACTGCTCAACCAGACCCAGTACGTCGATCATCAGTTGGGAGCGGGGCTCCCAAGAATCCCAGGACGGGGGATAGCCGCGACACCGGACGAGATAACTCGTCCGACGCCCGTTCACGTCGCGGTGGTTCAACAGCTGCTCAACTAGATAGCGCTGGCCACCGCGAGAGTCCTCTAATGGAGGTGGAGGAGGAGGAAAGACGCTCTCCACACGATCATGTGGATCGGTGTGTTCCCGAGAGCTTCTTTGATCGCGTAACGCAAGGGTTACGCGACGATCTCGAACATGAGCGGAATAGGCGTCTCCAAATGGCGGAAACTGCCTCGAAGCATCGAGCTGAGTTTGCCTTTGCTCAGCTTGAGAGCGAGAGATCTCTGACGTCTCTTCGTGACGAGCTAAGGGTAGCTCGTGGGATTGCTGATCGGTCTCGGGATGAGATAGCTGCTCTTCAGACCCTTGTTGATGCCCACCATCGGGAGCACAAGGCTCTCTGCGAGATGCTTGAGCGCAAGGGCGTTCTTCATCGGAAGAAGCAGCGTACTGATGGTACGGCTTAAGCCGACCAACGTAAAACGTGGGATGCGTTCGCATCTTACGTGGTAACTCGATCGTGTATGCATTGCCTAGGCGGTGCAATACACGAAATGGGCCGATGTACTTGGGTAGTAGTTTACTGCTACCCAAATTAGTCACTACATGCTTTGGTAGATTAACCGTAGACAGTAGGACTAAGTCACCTTTATTAAATAAAAGAGTGTTTGCCCTTCCATTCTTATCAGCGTTTTGCTTTTGCTTATCCACCGCTTCGGCGATGGAGTCTTGCACAAAACGGACTACCGTTTCACGAGCCAGTATGAACTCATCTGATGACTCGTTAGCGTCAGTGCGCTGTGAGCGCACTGCAGCAACATCAACCTTTTCTTCAGTGAGGGCTTCCGCACTCTCACTGGCATCATCTTCTTCGATATCGATGTTATCGATATCGGCATCAAACGCAATGACTTCTTCGTCAGAGCGTGATGAGCGTGAACCAAATCGGTTTTTGCTCGCGCGAGTCCCTCCCCCCCTTAAACCAGAGTTACACTCTAGTAAGGTGGGTACACGCGGATGGCGCAAGCCATTCACGTAAAACGGTGTATGTGTCGTGGACGCATGCACCGAGTTGTTGATGGCAAACTCTACCATTGGCAAAAACTCACTCCAACTCTTAAAGGAGTGTACGTATCCTCGAAGTATCTCTTCAAGGACACGATTGGCACGTTCCGTCTGACCATCTGACTCTGGATGTTCAGATGTTGACATCTTCAAGCGCGTTCCGAGTGATTTGAACACGGAACGCCAGAAATCAGTAGTGAATCGTGGATCTCTGTCTGATACGAGTTCACGGGGCAACCCATGAAGTCGGAAGATGGTGTCAATAAAGACACAAGCACAGCCACTTGCCGTGATTGTCTCTGGTACAGCCACAAGGTGTACCATTTTGCTGAATCTGTCAACAAATACGAGAATACCCGTATTCCCGCGTGCGTCTTTGGGTAACCCGAAGACGAAATCCATTGATATGGATTCCCAGCACTCAGCTGGAACCGGTAGAGGCTGTAAAGGTGCACGCAGTGAAGGACTTGACTTCACTCGTTGGCAGACTTCGCATGCGCGAACATACTTTCGCACAAACTGATACTGGCGGGGCCAGTAAAAGTCTCGGCTCACCGTGAGATATGTTTTCTCCCGGCCACGATGTCCTCCTATAGGAGCATCGTGATACTCGAACATGATCCGCAAAACGCAGATCAGTATCATCTGGAATGACAACACGTGGTGTGTCACCAGAAACGGCTGTATAATACAGTAAACCGTTACGAGTAGTGTATCGATCTGATGCAGATCGATACGCAGGCGACAATCGTTTCAACGATTCTCGGGATGGTTGGGAAAGATGTGTCAACAACTTTACAATCTCACCATCTTGGGCGTATGCCCGCCTCACATCATCATACAACGTTGTAGATGGGACTGAGGACGTCATAACCGCAACAGTGACTATCTCACTGTTGGGTTTCGCGACTGTTTCAAAGTCGGGACGACGTGAGAGTGCATCAGCGACGACATTAAGTCGTCCTGGTTTGTACTCGACCGTAAAGTTGTATTCTGCAAAGAATGACACCACCGCGCCATCCGTTGAGAAAGGTGCGGGCTGTTCACTGCCGTGCGTAACGACGCATGGTCAGTGTAAACAATGAAGGGTCTATCTCCTAAGAGATAGACTCTGAACTTCGCGAGTGCATACTTCATGGCAAGGAGTTCCTTGTCATGCACTGGATAGTTCCGCTCAGCTGGTTGCAGCTGACGCGACTGATAGCAGACGACGCGTTCAACGCCTTCTAGGTCGTACTGCATTAATGCACAGCCGATTGCGAAATCGCTGGCATCACAGACCACATGAAATGGCCTGTCCTGATCGGCTATTGCTAGGACTGGGGATTGTATCAAGCTCTGCTTGATACCCTCAAAGGAGCGCTGACATTCAGCGTTCCATAACCACCTCTCGTTCTTTTTTAACAAACGAGAGAGGTGTACAGTCATTTC